CATAGTGCTTCTGGAATTTTTATGCAGAGATTTTTTATACATACCTGTTCTTGTAGTTGTTGGCAATGATATTCAGAACTAATAGGGAATAATGTATAAAGAAAAGGGTAATTGTTAATTCTATAGTTAAACTTTTAATAAGTGCTTTTAAGCAAAATATGGGAGATTGAAATAATTAAGTTTCTCAGAGTGGAATTCACTGTTCTTATTTCCTCATTTCTTTAACTCCTTAGTACAGAGGATTGACAGGAAACAGTTCGAGACAGAATTCTATATTGCTGTTGGAACAGATTTCTACTCTGTGTGGCAAGGTATACGAGGCTCTTTTGATTATATTTTAAGAGTTTACATTTAAGGAGGTATGGTTTTTAACGGAAGTAAAGTTTTTGCTTATAAATTTGTTTTCTTTTGTAAAATATAATATCCTGGCAATAATTCATGCTAAGATAATTCTAAAGTATTTTGTAGACGAAGTAACATTTTGATTTTCTTTTAGAAATAAGCTTAATGAATAGTGATTGGTGTCAAGTTTTAAAGCCTCTTTTGGTGATAGCTCCCTTTGTTGAGAGGACGTTCTCATGCCTACATAGTCTTCATGATATGGCAGCCGGTGGAAGTGAAGAAACCTCTGAAGTGTCACTAGACTGCCATCAACTGCTGAGTTTTAAACTTTTCCTTCTTCCAGTGATGTTTTGGAGAATTGCAGCTATTTTAATAGTTACATTAAACATGTATAATATGATAGATTAATATATTTTAAACTTTCTAAAAAAACGAGCCTATTTAGTAGAGCCTACTTAGTAGCCTAAGTAGAATCGTGTTTGAAGTCACGTATTTTTTTTTTTTATTAAAATTAATTTTTTTTTCTTGGTATGTGTGTCTGCTTGTTGGTATGTGCACCATATGCATGCAGTGCCCACAGAGGCCAAAAGAGGGCATCAGAGCCCCTCAAAACTGGACTTTCAGGTGGTTGTGAGCTGCTATGTGGTTGCTGGGAACCAACCTCAGGTCCTCTGCAAGAACAGCAAATCCTAACTGCTGAGTCATTTCTCCAGCTCTAGTGATGTATAATTTTTAGTAAGACAAAAATAAAAATTTTTATTTCTGGTTATTTTATAAACTGTTACATTTTCATAGAAATGATTTTTAATGTACAAGATATATATTGACTATATTTACATAACATTTTCTCATTCTTTTAGTACCAAATAGATTATTAATAAATGCTCCTGAGACAAGTGTTCTAATTTTAGCAGTTTCCCTATGATGGCTATAATTAAATCTTGGTTGCAGTTCCCTTACAAGAGGAGTGACACTGTAAAGGAAATAAGACTTTGGACTTGGATGCCTGACTATATGATCATCTAAAGTTTTGGAATCCAGCCTCATTTGCCCATAATTTGAATAATGTTCTGAATACTTTGTCAAAGTGTTTTTTGACAACTGGCTTTTGATTATTTCAAAGGAAAGTCAGATACTTATAATTTGTTTAACACAGATATAAAATAATCCTTTATATATTGAAAGGAATACTAATTTTAGAAGCAAACTAAACTTGTTAGTCGATATTACATATGCAGCTGTTTTGTTTTAAACTTGCTTCTTGGACTGTAAGCGCAAAATGTTAAAGTATAATCTGTAAGTAAGGAATGTGTAAATGGGACCTTATAAACTTCTTTTCGCTTTAATGCCATAAAAGGTATATTTACAAGCATATATTATGTAGCTCTGTAAATCTCTGAATTTGAAGTAGGTTTTGTTTTTTCTTTTGTTTTTTTAAACATTGGGTCACAACTTGCCATTACATATTTGAAAAAAAAGTGGTTGAACGCGAGGCATGGTCACATGCATTGTTAATCCCAGCCCTCTGGAGGCAGAGGCAGAGGCAGGAAGATCTCTGTGAAAGTGAGACCAGCCTGGTCCACATAGTGACTTCAGGTGGGCTGGGACTAGGGGGAACCTCTGTTCAAAAAGCAAAACAAAACAAAAAAACCCACTAAAATAAATAAATAAACAAACAAATGAAAGAAAAAGGGCACTTAATTGCTGCTTATTCCTTGAAATCGAGTGCTTTATTTATAGCTTTGTTTTCATTTTTTTATTAAATGTTTTTGGTTTAGCATATAAAAAGTGGGCTTTAGTGTGGCATTTTCATATGTGTATACAATTATACTTTGTTATTTGCCCCTGTTTTTTATTTATTCAATTTATTTTTGCTTGCTATGTGCCAAATGCATGTCAGCTACTGGAGATAACAGGTAGACATGACCCTTCCTTGGGAAGCTTTCATGGGCCTCAAGTTCTAATAATTTATGTGGTCATCAGGAAATGTCTGAGCTTAAAAATATCCAAAATATAAAGAGAATGTCTTGGAATAAAGCATTTTTTTTTTCTTAGACTAGGAAACAATAAGGTAGGGTGTTGCAGGGTTTGGAGTGGTCTGATATCCCTCCCCTACCTTCATGGTTAGTAAATACTGAAATTTGCGTAGTTATAAGTCTGATTTTCTCCATGACTGATTGCTAGAAATGGCTACTGAAATGGTTGAATCAATCATTCATACCTGAAACTCAGGTATGAAATTTGCTGCTTGGCCTTTAAATTTTGGAGTCAGAATGGCAGCTGAGCAGAAGCATCCTCATGTCTTACGAAGTTACCTGGTTAGTGTGTGAGTGAAAACAAGCAGAATCCACATTTGTTATGATGCAGTGAACAAGTGTCAGAATCCACATTTGTTATGATGCGGTGAACAAGTGTCAGAATTCACATTTGTTATGATGCGGTGAACAAGTGTCAGAATCCACGTTTGTTATGCGGTGAACAAGTGTCAGAATCCACGTTTGTTATGATTGTGAGTGAAAACAAGCAGAATCCACATTTGTTATGATGCAGTGTACAAGTGTCAGAATCCACATTTGTTATGATGCGGTGAACAAGTGTCAGACTCCACGTTTGTTATGCGGTGAACAAGTGTCAGAATCCACGTTTGTTATGATGCGGTGAAAAAGTGTCAGAATCCACGTTTGTTATGATGTAGTCAATGTACGTTGACTGGAGTTACAACGTGAGATTTAGGATGTTTGCTTTCATCTTTGTAGCCGATACCTAATTAAAAATGAAGTTTTCTAAAAAATGGGTCCAATTCATCCCTTGAAGGATCGTGATACATTTAAATGTCTGTAAGTTCCTTGTAGAACTGCATGTAGCATCCATAGAATATTGAGACAGCTGTAACTGAGACCTTATCTGGCATAAGGTCTTCATCATCATATCACATCACATTCAGCCACATCGACCTTTTTGCCACAGTCTTGACAGGCATTTTGGACTATGATGTCTTGTTTATTTAAGGACTGAGTTTAGGGAATTGGATGTATCTTTCATATTTAATGATTCTTTCCTATTGGTAAATAGTATTATTTTTTTTCTAATATTTGACTGAAATACACTTGCTTTTTAAAAAGTTATGCCTACAATAATAATGAAAAATATTTCTACTTTTCTTAATTTTGTACCCTTTTAATTAAGAATGCTTAAGTGGAAATAATGAATAGCAACAGACCTAACCATGTAAAATACTAATTCAGTATCATACATTTCATGTAGCTAATCCATTTACATAGGACAATTAAAAACAGCTTTTCATTAGGTTTAAGATATTTGACTAATGTTTTGCCTAAATTTCTTCTGAGTTTTTTTAAAATTAATGTTCTTTGTTAGAATTGTAGAATGTGCTGATTAATGTAACTACATTGCTACAATAGCCAATGTATAGCTTCTGAAGTTGTAATTTGTTTTATATAGTCCTTAATCGAATTCTAAATTTACCTAAATATATTACAATGATTCTTAATATTTAATAAGCATCTGTATGCTCAGCCTTGAGAATACAGTGATGAATAAGCTGAGTTTGCTCTTAAATCAGTCAAAAGCTACTATGTGCTTTCTGGGTTTAATGCATTACCATCTATAGTTTACCTATTGGCATTAAATCTCTGATTTCTAGGAATAAAAAGGTTCTGCATTGCTTTCAGGTATATTATAATTTTGAAACCACAAAAATACTGGTGTCTAAAGTTATGGTATCATAAGTTTTTTGGTATTTGATCTGTCAGCTAGCTTCTGTTATTCTTTGGCTATACAAAGAAATTATACACACAACTTGAATGTACAGTAAATATGAATAACACTTAGTTACTTTTCCTGTTGCTGGGATAAACATCCTAACAAAAACAATTTGAGGGAGAGAGGGCTTCTTTTGGCTCAAAGTTGGAGGATACAGCATGTCATGGGGGGAGCCTTGGCATCAGAAACTTAGAGCACCCACATTGGAGTCAGAGCAGAGGGTACTGAAACGCATGCTTGCCAGTTTTCTCCTGTTTTTGCAGTCCCAGACCCAAGTCCAGGGCATGTTGCCACCCCACTTTAGCATGGGTCTACCCACTCTAGTTAACCTAGTTAAGATACTCCTCCACCGTATGCCTCTGGGCTAACCTATTCTAAATAACCCATCATCAGTGTGCCTGGGGCCCGTCTCCTGTGTGATTCCAGATTCCTGTCAAGTTGGCAACGAACTAACCATCAGACAAAGTTTTCAGAGATGTGTACCTCATAGAAAAGAGGAGACTCTTTTTGGGATGCTTTTTTCTGGTTTTTTTTTTTTGTCTTTTTGAGACAGGGTCTCCCTGTAGCTCCAGCTGTCCTAGAACTCACTATATAGACCAGGCTGGTCTTGAACTCACAGAGATCCACCTGCCTCTACCTCCCGAGTGCTGGATTAAAGGTGAGTGCCACCACACCCGGCTTTTTTCTCTTTTTATCTCCCTTTCTTTCTCTCTCCCTTTCCCTCTCCTCCCCTCCCCTTCCTCTCTCCCCTTTTCCTCCTCTCTGTTTTTCTTTCTTTTTTTCCGCCAGGGGGAGAGGGAGTCTTTTTCTTTAGCTTTTGCTGTGAAGTAGTTGAGAGTGACCTTACTAAGTGTTTGCTAAATGTGTAAAATGAGAGCACCATCATCATATGATGCTTGTCAGGAGTGCATTTCAGTCTGCAGGCAGTGAAATCTGTGCTCTGTCTCTTCAGGTCGGTGCTCTTTTTGTATTGCCGTGCACTGTTAGTAACATACTTGTTCCCCCTCCCAACCAACTCAGTTCAAGAAAATGGAAGGAATATATCACTAAAAAGCCCAAGACAATCAGTGGTGAGTAGTAAATCTATAAATTGTTTTATCAGTGCAATATAGATAATGCATTTATGTTTAAATGGAGATAACCTTTATTAGAAATGGTGTTTAATACTTCTAGCCATAGTCATGAAAAATGTCAGTAATCTAAATGCTGAATTTGGGTTAGTTAGGTAACTAATATATTGAACATTGGTTTCTTAGACACATCTTGGAACTAAATGTGTGAAAATAAAATAACTGGTTTATTACATTTATTATATGAGCCTGTGGCTACAGTTTTCTGAAGAAATTAGAACTTAATTATTTAACAGTTTACTGTACCACACAGTATTCTGGGTACTTTTGATGGTATTGATTTTTTCACTCATAATAACCCTGTAGACTATAGTTTTTGTCTATTTTACAGATGAGGAAATGAGGCTTGGCGAACTTAAAGAATGGTGAATTGACAGAACCTTGGTATAAATTCTAGCTTGAGGAACTCATTGTTCTGCAACCTCTCCTAGCATTTTAACCTCTCATCATCTTGGGTGATTAAAATGCTACTGTAGCTTGTTGCAGCATGCTGGGATACAAGTCAGTGCAGGGTTAACCTGTCCCAGCTGCTCATGGGAATCGATGCACATCTGCTGATTTTAGAAGGCACTAAAACAGAATCAGAAGTAGATTTGCTATGTGGTAGTAATCTCTGTTTCACTTAGACTACATGAAACCATGGAATGCTATCTCTTTCTTACCCTTGAATATGTAATATGAATTGGGTAGTAGCAGCTCTTAAATAGAGAATATCCTGGATAGACCACCTAGTGCTTGCTTTTCTTTTTGTAACTCTCTACCACTTCAAGTGGCTATTACATTGGAAGTTCTAATTTTAAGGTAATTTATTGATTTAGAGTTTGCTAAAGTTTCCCCCCTCCTAGTTTTTATTGTAACTTGAAAAAAAAATTCCTTGCAGTTTTATTTCAAATTTTAAAATTACTGCCTTGTGAAATTAAGGAAGTGATGGTGGTAACTTCTGAATAATAATAAGACACAGATCACTTGATAATGTTTGAATTAGATGTTGATTACTGATTAGGCTAGATCATTAAGGACTGATTAAAATGACTCCACAGTATTTTTTTTTTCTTAGAAGTAGGAACAAAATCAAACAGGATATTTGATTAAGTTCTTTTCTACCTGTAACCTTTCCTAAAGGGGATATTTTTTTACTTATCCCATTGACAAAAGAGAGAAGTCAAGTTTGTCAGTTTTGTAAAAAAAACAGAAGATGATTAAGATTGAGCTGTTCTATATAAAATACAAAAAAAAAATTCAATTAAAAACAACAACAACAAAAACAAACCTGAACCTCATGTTAGGGCCCCAAGTTGGTCTTGGAGAGTCACTGGAACCCCCAGTCCCTCTTCCCGATGTGACCACATTAAATAAATCTTTCTCTGCATTCCAAAAAAAAACCCACAAACAAACAAAAAACAAACTGAAGTTTTATTAGTTTTGGAAAAAACTGAGAGGCTAAATTTTTGTTAGTTTAATAACTTTTTGAAAGAAATTTTAATTAATTAATTTATTTTTGGTCTTTTTGAGACATGGTCTCCCTGTAGCCATAGCTGTCCTGGATTCACCATGGAGACCAGGCTGGCCTCGAACTAACAGATATCCGCCTGCCTCTGCCTCCCGAGTGCTGGGTCCCTTATTTTATGTGTATAAGTGTTATGCCTGCATGCATATAAGTGCACCCATGTCATACAATGCCCTCGAAGAGGGTGACATTCCCCTGGAACTGGACTTACAGATGGTTGTTAGCCACCATGTGGGTGCTGGGATTTGAACCCAGGTCTTCTGCAAGAGCAGCCAGTGCTTT